CTCTTCCAGCAGCACAAGAGAAGACTCTACACATGGACATCACCAGATGGTCAACACTGAAATCAGATTGATTATATTATTTGCAGCCATAGGTGGAGATGCTCTATAGAGTCAGCAGAAAGAAGACAGGGAGCTGACTGTGGCTCAGATCATGAACTCCTTATTGCCAAATTCAGACTTAAATTGAAGAAAGTAGGGAAAACCACTAGACCATTCAGGTATGACCTAAATCAAATCCCTCACAATTATACAGTGGAAGTAAGAAATAGATTTAAGGGACTACATCTGATAGACAGAGTCCCTAATGAACTATGGATGGAGGCTTGTGACATTGTACAGGAGACAGGGATCAAGACCATCTGCAAGAAAAATAAATGCAAAAAAGCAAAGTGGCTGTCTGAGTAGGCCTTACAAATAGCTGTGAAAAGAAGAGAAGTGAAAAGCAAAGGAGAAAAGGAAAGATATACCCACTGAATGCAGAGTTCCAAAGAATAGCAAGGAGAGATAAGAAAGCCTTCCTCAGCGATCAATGCAAAGAAATAGAGGAAAACAACAGAATGGGAAAGACTAGAGATCTCTTCAAGAAAATTAGAGATACCAAGGGAACATTTCATGCAAAAATGGGCTCAATAAAGGACAGAAATGGTATGGACCTAACAGAAGCAGAAGATATTAAGAAGAGGTGGCAAGAATACACAGAAGAACTGTACAAAAAAGATCTTCATGACCCAGATAATCACAATGGTGTGATCACTCACCTAGAGCCAGACATCCTGGAATGTGAAGTCAAGTGGACCTTAGAAAGCATCACTACGAACAAGGCTAGTGGATGTGATGGAATTCCAGTTGAGCTGTTTCAAATCCTGAAAGATGATGCTGTGAAATTGCTGCACTCAATATGCCAACAAGTTTGGAAAACTCAGCAGTGGCCACAGGACTGTAAAAGGTCAGTTTTCACTCCAATCCCAAAGAAAGGCAATCCCAAAGAATGCTCAAACTACTGCACAATTGCACTCATCTCACACACTAGTAAAGTAATGCTTAATATTCTCCAGTCCAGGCTTCAGCAATATGTGAACCGTGAACTTCTAGATGCTCAAGCTAGTTTTAGAAAAGGTGGAGGAACCAGAGATCAAATTGCCAACATCCATCAGATCATAGATAAAGCGAGAGAATTCCAGAAAAACCTCTATTTCTGCTTTATTGACTATGCCAAAGACTTTGACTGTGTGGATCACCACAAACTGTGGAAAATTCTGAAAAAGATGGGAATACCAGACCACCTTAACTACCTCCTGAGAAATCTGTATGCAGGTCAGGAAGCAACAGTTGGAACTAGACATGGAACAACAGACTGGTTCCAAATCGGGAAAGGAGTATGTCAAGGCTGTATGTTGTCACTCTGCTTATTTAACTTATATGCAGAGTACATCATGTGGAATGTTGGGCTGGAGGAAGCACAAGCTGGAATCAAGATGCCAGGTGAAATATCAATAACCTCAGATATGCAGATGATACCACCCTTATGGCAGAAAGTGAAGAAGAACTAAAGGGTCTCTTGATGAAAGTGGAGAGTGAAACAGTTGGCTTAAAACTCAACATTCAGAAAACGAAGATCATGGCATCCAGTCCCATCACTTCATGGCAAGGAGATGGAGAAACAATGGAAACAGTGAGAGACTTTATTTGGCAGGGGGCGCCTCCAAAACCACTGCAGATGTTGACTGTGGCCTTGGAATTAAAAGATGCTTGCTCCTTGGAACAAACCCTATGAGAAACGTAGACAGCATATTAAAAGCAGAGAAATTACTTTGCCAGCAAATATCTGTCTAGTCAAAGCTGTGGTTTTTCCAGTAGTCATGTATGGATGTGAGAGTTGTACTCTAAAGAAAGCTTAACACCAAAGAATTGATGTTTTTAAACGTTGGAGTTGGAGAAGACTCTCGAGAGACCCTTGGACTATAAGGAGATCAAACCAGTCAATCCTAAAGAAAATCAGTCCTGAATGTTCACTGGAAAGACTGATGCTGAAACTGAAACTCCTATACTTTGGCCACCTGGTGGGAAGAACTGACCTATTGGAAAAGCCCTGATGCTGGGGAAGATTAAAGGCAGGAGGAGAAGGGGACGACAGAGGATGAGACGATTGGATGGCATCACCAACTTGATGAACGTGAGTTTGAGCAAGCTCTGGAAGTTGGTGATGGACAGGGAAGTCTGTTGTGCTGCAGTCCATGGAGTTGCAAAGAGTTGGACATGACTGAGCAACTGAACTGAACTGAGCATATGTTCTATTCCTTTCTATAAGTATGTCCTTGCCAGGGACCATACTTTTTAGAGGTAGTACAGAGTAGTTTTTTATTAGTTTCAAATTTAACTAAAATAAATTTGGGTTTGGATATTGACTTTTAGGGTAATCTGTCATCCTAGTTTTCTTGGAACTGGCTTTCCCTAAACATGGGACTTACGATCCTTAAAGCAGTAAGTCCCAGGGAAACTGGACCATTGACCACCCAACTAACCATGTGGCTGTGAGACAATGGCATCTTATGTTACACATCTCTGTTTTTTTATATGTGTAATGGGAAAAGTAACAAAACCTAACCCATAGGACTTCAGTGATAATTAAATGAGATCGTATATGAGATATATAGATATGTGAGATAGATACAAAACACAGCACTCACTATGTAAACCAAGCACTTGATAAGGACTCTAAATATCACCCATTAGTATTAAAACTGTTTTCCAATTTTATTGTGATATAATTGACATACAGCAATGTATAAATTTAAGGTGAACATCATAATGATTTGACTTAAAACTATCATAAAATGGTGTGCACAATTTTATTCAACATTCATCATCTCATATAGATACAAAAGAAAAAGACAAAAAAATGCTCTTTTCCATGTGATGAGAACTCCTAGGATTTACTTTCTTAATAACTCGCATACAGGATTTCCCTGGTGGCTCAATGATTCACCTTCCAAAGTGGGGAGTGTGGGTTCAATCCCTGGTCAGAGAGCGTAGATCCCACATGCTTCATGGCCAAAACCCAAAACATAAAAAATAGAAACAATATTGTAACAAGTTCAATCAAAACTTTAAAAAATGGTCCATGTAAAAAAAATTCTTTGAAAATAACTCATATATATCATCGAGTGATGTTAACCATAGTCATCACACTATATATTACATCCCAAGTATGATACATTTATAACTAGAAGCTTATACCTTTTGACCACTTTCATTCAATCTCCCCTACCCCACCCTCATTTCTGATAACCACAAATCTGATCTGATGAGTTCAGGGATTTTTAATTTACCTGTGTGAGTGAGGTCATACAAGGCTTATTTTTCTCTGTCTGACTTACTTCACTTAGTATAATGACATCAAGATTCATGCATGTTGTCTCAAGTGGCAGGACTTCCTGCTTTTAAGGGCATTATTATTGTTGTTGTTTTACAAAGCAAGTAGATTCCTCAAAGCACTAATTCTCAGAATCTAGATCTTCATATCTAGGATTTGAAATAAATGAACTTTATGTTTAGCTTTGATGTCTTCTTTACCTTCCAGGTGACTTCTTTTCTCATTGTATTCATCCATGAAATTAAACAGTAAAACCCATGGCTGAATACAATCCACCATTGCATGTCCTTTCACATTTTTCAGGATATATTTCAGAACAAGACAATGTTTCTGTTTGGAAAACAGTATGGATGAATGAAGAACCAAAGGCAGCATAGTGCTATGAAAAGATAAAGGGAGTTAGCTTGGATTATAATAATGACAACTGCTATTTTGTTGTATGTAAACTCTAGGCCATTTATTAATGCATCATATCCTTTCTATCTCTGCTGCAGTCAGTGATCCTCAGAAGTAATTATTATTATCATCCTCAGTGTTCAAATGGAGAACCAATCTTAGTGAGCTTAAGTTATTTGCCCAAAGATAGTGTTGGGTTGGCCTAAAGGTTTCTTTGGCTTTTTCTGTAAGATGTTATGGAAAAACCCAAATGAACCTTTTGGCAAACCCAATAGTAATGAGAAGTGCAACTGAGATTCTAAGCCAGGTCTGAACTCTCCAAAGTAAATGCACTTTTAACTTATAACCAACAGGGTAATTTTGTAGAAAGTATTTTGCCTCTCTGGGCTAGTTTCTTCAACTGTACAACTCAGAAGGAAAGGAAATTGCCACTGATGATTGCTTATCACATTGCCCATAATGAGCTATGCACGTTACATGCATCAGCTCACTTAATAATTGTGAGTAACTATTACTTCCATTTTGGGGGTGTTGGGGGAAATGGGTGGGTCTTCATCCTCTTCCAGCTTCTCACAGGGAGTCACTCTTACCAATGGAAACATGTCTTAGCAAAGGGCAGTTCCTGCTTGGTTTCCAGAGCCCTTTCTTTCCATATTGAAGTCACTCAGTCGTGTCCGACTCTTTGCGACCCCATGGACTGTAGCCTACCAGGATCCTCGGTCCATGGATTTTCCAGGCAAGAATACTGGAGTGGGTTGCCATTTCCTTCTCCAATTCAGGAAATAGCCAGCTTCAAACAACATAGGCCAAATAGAAACATTCAAGGGAGCCAAATTCTGCTCTCCTACACACCAGCCAGTCCAAGAGAGAGACCCTGCAAAGCCCCCTGCCCAGAGTATGTAGTCACTCGCCAAAGCTCTCCCCTGAAACACTACCTTGGGCTCCTAAAGACCAAAGAGGGTGTGGTGGGCAGTTCACTTCATATTGGTAGAAAATATTTTGATTTACCCTTGATTTCATAGAATTCATGCCCAAAGCTCATAAATTCTATTATTGGAAATGTTGGTTAACTCTAACAACTGTCTTTCACCAAATATTATTCTGTTAAGCTCATTGCTTTCCAGTTAGCATTTTTCATGTATAAGTTTCCCTCAGTTTCTTTCTCCAAAAGTGTAATGATACATCCTGGGACCTTTGTGGATCACTGTACTTTCTGGAACTTTTGCCTTAGGCCTCTGAGGAAACACTGCACTCCAGTCATGAAGAGGAAGACCCTTTGAAAGAAATGGAACCCTATCTTGTAAGGAGACTTTCTTGCCGCAACATCCAGCTTCCCCCTCTCGCCTTCAGACAGTTGGAACAAGCAGACTTGAAGAGTGAATCAGAGAACCTTCAAAGGCCAACCACCCTCCCCTTGAAGATTCTACCCCTGATTGCTATCACTTCCGCCGACTCCAGTGGGTGAGTGACCTTGGGTGGCACTGCCCCATTTTCTATTTTAAACGATGATTGTTATCTGGGATCTCTTGAGTTTTGTGGCTCATTGCTTGATTTGAATCAAAGGGAAATGGGGTCTTTAGAGTCAAGAGAAAATCTGGTAATTTTTCTGAGGTAATATTGCAGTCTCTACAAGAGGAGACACTTTAGTCAAATTATTTTACAAGGAGTATTTGAAAAAGTATTGATGAATGCAAATGAGTATCTGGGGAAAGGGACTTGGGCTTGGAAATTAATACTGGTCACAGGTGATTAAATAGAAAAATTTCTTAACAAATGAGAACTAATGGACAAATTAACATGTAGGCATACATATCTGAGAACAGTAGGCAATATTCATTGATGCAAAATGAATTTGGAATCAAGAATAAATTGTACTATAATTAGAATCAAAGGAAATACACAACTATGATCATCAGCCTAGTAATTTGGCCTTTGACATTTTCAGGTCTTGCTTACCAGAATACTGTTTCAGTTCCCAGCATAAGGAGTTTTATTCTGCAATAAGATGCATAGAAGAATGAGTGAGGCCTCCAATTACTAATGTAGCATTTGCATTTCTTACTTTACTAGGTATTTGTATTTTTATTCTTTTTCTGCTGTTTACAGTGGGGTTTTTACTCTTTAATAGCTATTACCAGGTAAAATGTTGTCAGAAAAAGTGAGAATTGTGAGCACATCCATTATTTGATTTTTTTGGCCAGCTGCATTTTGAGAGGAGGAAACTAGTGGTCCACACTTGAACAGACACTTGAACATTTTTAAGGATTACAGAAACAGAGCAATTTGCTGGGGTGCAAATGTGATTCTTCCTCATTGTCTGCCAAATTCAAGGCATGTCTAGAGAAGGAACCTTTTGGGTTTTCCTAAAAGTTGTTGGAAAAGTGGTGGTCAGAAAAAATGTCAGCAGTAACTATAATCTAAGATATTGAATTTAGCTGTTTGAATTGTTACAGACCAGTTCAAAGCACCTATATCATTAAAAAGTATGAGGAAATCACTACTAGATAAATAAGACAACGCATTCTTAACTTGAAGCAAGAAGAAGGAAATACATATGTGATTTTTTTTTTCTGGATGAACTGTGTGTATAAAGAAGACTGTACACCTATCCATCAGACACATTAAAGCAGGTCGGAATTTTATATGGCAGCTTGATCTGAGCATTCTTTGAAAAATACTCTCAGAAATCCAGTTTCCCCTGTTTGGCATCAGTACTGCTTCACTCATGTAGAGGGTAGGATTTACCTGCAAGGTGTGTGAGAGATCACTAAGTCCACTGCTGTGTTCAGTAATTTGCTAGTAGAGCTCCAAGAATTCAGTAAATAGTTGTATTCATGCCTGGGATTTATTAGAGCAAAAGAGTACAGAGAAAAATCAGCAAAGAGCAAGGCACGTGGGGCAACATCTGGAGGGAAGCAGAAACAAGTTTTCAGGAGTTCCATCTCCCAGTGGATTCAGAAGGATGTATTTAATTCCTCTAGTAATGAGTTGTGACAACACATGTGACATGTGTTCACCAGAGAAGCCTCTATCAGCGAAGCTTATTAAAAAGGCTCAGTGCTTATATGAGATGTCTAGGAGTCAAACTCACAGAAACAGAGTACAGCGGAGGTTGCCAGGGACTGGGGGAAGGGGAAATGAGGAATTGCTCTTCAACGGGTATAGTAGTTTCACTTACAAGATGAATAAGCTCCCAAGATCTGCTGAACTGCATTGTGGCTGCAGTTGACACCATATTGTGCCCTTAAAATTCTGTCAGGAGGGGAGATCTCATGTTAAATGTTCTTACCACACACACAAAAGCTGTTTAAAAACAAGAAAATAAAAGATAGACTCAGTACCCAGAGTTTTTATTGGGGGTTGGTCACTGAGGCACCCTCTTCGTAGTATGTGCCTAAATTCCAGATTCCTAGAAGGAAAGCATAAACCATGTTTTTTATGCAACCAATTTAGGCAATGAGCCATATTACCAGTTAGGGATGGTGGGAACCCTCCTGAAATCCAAGTTCCCAGATGCCAGCAAAGGGCCAATCTTTCCAACAGGCTTTTCTAATGATAACAGTTGCTGGCCTAATGTAAATTCTTTTCTGCACAGCAGGTTTATCTTAGAATCATTAGCTTGATTTCTCTACCTTTGAGGAAGAAGGGATTATAGCTATAATTAAAATTAAAATGAACGAAATTAAGCCTGTGATGTATTCAATTAACTTTGGTTTAAAAAATTTTGCTGGCTAAACATGACTTCTCTCTTGAAGCTGGTGTTATATCATGTGCCCTTAAAAGAAAACAATGTGGTATATTTAATATGTCTCTGTGTAGTTGGGCAATGTGTATAATTAAAAATCTCAGGTTAAAGCTAAGCTTACTTAATTAATTTGAATTTGTTGCTAAATGCAATAGCCTCCAAGTGCCAAAGGACTTGGGGCTCAGAATTGTCTCTATGATAATACTTTTGTTGGTTCAGAGTTTGTTTCCTTTTTAATAAAAGATCTAAGATTCAAGTATAAGCAAAACAGTACTTACCATTTACAAACTTATTCAACATTTTGGAGGAAATAATTGTCTTTTAGAAAAATGAAACAAGTGACTTGTCAGTACCAGAAGGCAGCCAGGAGAAACCATGCTTGAGAGTGGCCAGAAACAGCCTAAAGATGTACTAAAGGAATTCTGTTATCTTTTTAAGCAAATTTTCTGGAATATCTAAACTTTGAAAGGGAGGCAGAAGGTAAATTAGGGATGACATTCTGTAGCCATTCCAGTTAACCAAGAACTACAGTTTCCTTCACTATCAGAAAGGGCTAATGGGAAATTTAGACTACTTTAGCTAGGTTTCTACAGCCCCATTCTTCATCATTAAAGGTTAGTAGGTCCCCAGGTCCTGCTGTTAATCTACACTGAAGCATTGACAATTGTGAACCTTTGATAGAAAAGGAGATTTTCATCCCCTTTGGATTTATTCCTTTATTTATCTTTGCTCTTTTTTCTGATATATGAGCACATCAGACACTTGCTCTGTCAAGTATCATACAGTAGTGGGTCTACAGACTTGTGCTACCCCTTTTGAAAGCCATGATGTGGTTTCTTAAGGAAACAATTGGCCTGCAAAAAGAAACCACATAATTTGTTCTTGGTTAGCCTTTGACATATTATAGCTGCTTATTGTATAATCACTGCAGCAACTGCTATACCTTTTTTGGGAAAATATTAGAGAAAACTCTGTACATTATTTTTGGTTTCCTTGTTATAACTGGCCTCAAAGATCGTCCATTAATAACTCATGGGGTAGAGGTGAGTGTTCCAACAGGTTTAAGAGTCAACCAGGAATTTGTTCCTCGTTCAGAAAGTTACGATCACTATGGACTTATCACATTTGTGTTAAGAAGCCTATGTCTTGTTAGAGAAGGAGAAGTATCATATGACATCCCTTATATGTGGAATCTACCAAGAGATGAATTTACTTACAAAGCAGAAAGAGACTCACAGACTTAGAGAACACAATTGTAGTTGCTGGGGAGAAGGACGGGGGATGGATAGTTAGGCAGGGTGGGATGTACATGTACACATTGCTATATTTTAAATGGATAAATAGCCAGGACCGATTGTATAGTACAAGGAACTCTGCTCAATATTATGTAGTAGCCCGGATAGTGGGGGGGAGTTTGTGGGAGAATGGACACATAGATATGTATAGCTGAGTCCCTTCTCTGTTCATCTGAAACTGTCACAACATTGTTAATCAGCTATACCCAAATAAAAAATTCAAAAATAATTTTTAAAAACAATGAGGAAGATAAAAAAGAAGTCTCTGTCTTGCTTTTGGCATCTGTCCACAGACATACCCTGCATTCAAGGGTTATTCAAATATGTTTGGAATGAGATTGGAGGTCCTCTTCATTTCTTACTTCCTCCTTGTTTCACTTCTATAATAACCCTTGCTGACTTCAACATAGTTCTGTGGTCAGAATCCTTGGAAGGAATCAGGAACTTCCCTTAGCCCAGCTTGGGCGCTGGCTTACTTTCCCTGGGTGGTCCATGGACCCCCAGATACTCTGAGAAGGGTTTAGCTTGCCACACCTAGAATGCTTCCTGCACACAAGTAGGAGATGGCAGGAGCAAAGGGAGGTAACGGGAGATAGTGCTAAATCTTTCTAGCTGTGTTTTATGGCTGCATCAGCTATAAGCAAATGAGAGCCAAGGAGTAAGTTGTCCCCTTGTGACAGGATGACACACCTGTGGATGGATGGATACTCAGGAACACGTGTGGGTGGGGAATATTACAAACATGTTCTCATCACTAGTGTGCCGTTACTAATCTAGAGAAGTACACTGTCTCCGTTTATATTACTATGCCCTATTTTTTTTTAAAAAAAGAAAATGGAAAGAAGTTGAAATAGTGGGCACACTTGGAAAAAAGTCTACTCCCCAACATAGAGGGAAGGATTACCTTAGTCAAATACGGCTTCATATTACAAAGATCTTCCAGAAATATTCCTTTGAGTTATGTGCTATTCACAGAGGAGCTGGTTTGAGATGCCGTTAGACTTTGGATTCTTTGATCAACTGCTCATCATCTAGATTTCTTGAGTACACACAGTACGTTAGTGTGAACATTAAAAAAAAAGGTAATTTTCAACATTTTGTTACTGAATCAAAATCCGAACAAAACAAAATTAATAGAAACAAAAGCTTGGTTAAAAGAGACATCTGATTTTTCAAACTTCATATTTTTAACTTAGGGTATTGATGGTGGGGATTTCAGATTTGAAGTATAGTGAGTATAAGGCTAAAGAGCTGTCTTTCATGATGAACCCATGAGACTTGCTGTTTCATACTGGATATGTGCTCAAGTTTCAAGAGATTTATTTGATAAATTCTGGCCGAAAGTTTTGTGGAAGATCTATATAATCCAGTAGGCAAAGATTTCCAAAATTGGAAAATGTGTACACTTGATTGTGATTATAAAGG